CGGCCTCAAGAAGAAGAAGCGACTCTCGCAGTCGGACGAGGACGTGATCCGCCTCATCGGGCAGCACCTGCACGGCCTCGGCCTCAAGTAAGTGGCGGCGGCGGGAGGGGGGCCCAGACGCCGGGGGTCTCGCCTCGGGTCGGCGCCAGCACTGCCGTCGGTGGCTGCTGTAAACACCCGGAGCCCTCGGCCCACCCTGGGGTGCAGATGAGCCCCGAGACACCGTGTGGCAGCTCGCAGGATCCCGACAAAACAAAACTAGCCGTAGGCTGCTCTTTATTTATTTGTTATCTCTAAGAAAAAAATCCTCCCCCCAAACAGTGAAGGGCTCTGTAAGCTTGTATTGGATATTTGCTTTTGATACTGGCATCCAGTCCATGGATAATCTTATTATGTTGGTCCTTCCTTAAAATCAGGGGAAAAACCCTCCCAGTGGAGAAGAGGAAGTCTAAGAACTTATTATCTATATGTATAGATAGGTAGAGCTATAGATATGTATATTGACTCTTATGAGTAAAGCCAGGAATGTATCATAATCCTGGCTATAGCTAGAGGCTATAGCTAGAAGCTCTGCAAGGCAAGGAGGCTATAGCTAGAAGCTCTGCAAGGCCTTTGTGTAGCTGCTCCAAGCCCCATGTTGGTGGCAGCGTGGGATGGGTCGGCTCAGTCGTACAGAGCTCGAGACATAAAATAAATCGCCCCTGACACAAGAGGCAAGTTTATGGCAGCACACAACTCGTGACTGCTCATAGATGACAACACAGTAAATAGGCTATTTTTAGTGTAAAAGGGGGAGGGCTGCAGGTTTGGGAGCTTGCTTATTGTGTTTTAAGGAGCAGCTAGTTCTCTAATACATAGTGAAGAAAAAAAAGTAAGGCCTGTTGCACATGTATTTAATGAGCAAGTAGTGGTGGCCCTTTCTGTTGCTCCCCTTTGGGGAGGGGAAGTGGAGGGATCCTTTGCAGTAGCTAATAGGTTTACAGTCTGTATCTTCCTTCATGAAGCCTGTATCTTCCTGTCATGAAGCCTATTCAGGGATGCCCATTTGTGGGGGCTGGGAAGCAAGATTCCAGCAGAGCTTTCAAGCTCATCCACAGCCTGCTTTAGACCCAGATACTCAAGGGGATCTTCCAAACAAGCTCCTGAGTCTGCTCATAGTGTTCTTACTCTGTTAAAGTTTCTTTTAACTATGGTAAACTGCTGTCATTGGAGGCGGTGTATTTGTGAGGGTAAAACTGGTCGGGTTTTTTTACACTGTATCTCTCCTGCAGCCAGACTGTTGATCTTCTCATGCAAGAGTCAGGATGTCGTTTAGAACATCCTTCTGCTACCAAATTCCGCAATCATGTCATGGAAGGAGAATGGGATAAGGTAACGTAGGGCTTAGGACTGTACTAGCCGCTGTTTAAATTTATAGTGTCTGTGAGAGAATTCGCAATCCAGTCTCCTCATACATTTTTTTTTTCCCTTATGCCAATTTCTGCAGGCTGAGAACGACCTGAATGAACTTAAGGCCTTAGTGCATTCTCCGCATGCAATTGTGGTAAGAGGCACTTCGACTATTTCAGAGCTTTGTAGTGGACTAATTGTAGCACTGGAATCTTGCACGTTTGGGTTAGTCATCCATAGTTCTTGTTTATTTTTTTTGTTGTTCTCGTTTGTTTTTAAGCAATTCGCATGGTATTTCAAAAGCTGTACTGATTTTACTTTTTTATATTCTTTCTTAGAATGTGATAGGAAGCCCAAAAGCATTAAGGCTGATATTCAGCACTGAGTGATAAGATTTCTTGAAACATTCTTAACTGCCAAAATATAAATCCTATAACAGTCCTAAAGTAGGGCAGTTTATGTAGAAACTGCCCATTTTGAAGGCAAATTTCAAATTTCAAATACTTTACAAGATTTGTATTAATTTGGGTTAGACTCTATGGAGGGAACAAAATGCAGTAATACTAATGTGTAGTTGGCAGCAGTGTGATAGGATAAAAATATAGTGGCTGCTGTAGAATATGAACAATATTGTTGTTTTTGCAGTTGGCTTCTAGAGAGTAAATGTATTGGTTTTGCTGTTTGGGTATTTTATTTGGGTATTTTTTTCTCTCTGGCTTTTTTTTTTTTCCTCCTCCTCTCTCAAGTAAGAATCTAGAAACAGGTTTGTAGATCCCATGATTTAACAATTATGTGTTTTGCTATGAGTTCAGTTATTTCGGGGAAGTGTACTGACATACAATACTGTTTCTTGGCTTGCTTTTGTAATCCTGAGATCAAAATAATTAGTTACTTAGCTCTCTTCTTCAAATAGCTTGTTATATTGTATTTAAATGTTTATTCTAATGAAATGTAGTTAGAACTGCAGTGGTCCCTTAGAAAGAGGAAAGTGGCACTGCTTTTTGAAGTGTCCGTGCCTGTAAACAGTGAAGAATCAGCTGATGGCTGCTGAGCTCTACTTCTAGCTGATTCATTTGTTGTCAAGACAATTTCCTGTCTGGTGGGGGAGGGAGAGAGAGAGAGAACAGGAAGTGAAGTAGGAAAAACAGATGTTTAACAAAACATCAGAGAATACTTGAGAGAAGTTTGTTCTGTTAATCTGGTTAATGCTTAGCACTTTTTAATTAGACTAGTGTTCCAGTTTCTTCTTTCTCAGATTTAATAAGTGTAGGATTTGCTGCTGAGATAGAGTATTGGATGCATCTTTCAATATAGACTATGAATCTTGAAAGTATAAAGGCATTGTATGTGGGTAAGAACATAGTAATCGAGGTAAACTTTCTCCTATTTCCAGCTTTTGAATTTACTCAGCTTCATATTATTCTATTTACGTATTGATTTTTGTCCTAGAGATAGAGGGTTTATCTAACTACGTATCAGCAGCATACTTGGCAGTAGAATTTCATTGCAGGGTGGGGGCATCTCCCTTTTGTAAATCTGGAGGATTCTGCAAGTATGTTCCTTTCCTATCAGCACTGGTGTTTAACTACTTGACTAAGACGTTGGATTATGTAATTTTTTTTGACTGAGATATCTCTGAATTCACTAAATACTGCTTTTTTTTTTGTTCTCCTTGTGTACTGAAACTTTGTCCCAGTTAAATCAGATAAAGATCTTCAGTGTACTTATTAATAAGGAAATATGGGAAATATATTTATTCTTTATCTTTTTTTCTCAAAGTTAGGTAGATCTTGTTTGCTGTCATGTGCACGTGTACTCCTTCCTCCTTCCTCCCCTCCTTCCTTTGAACTTAGTTGAGGTTATGGATGGGTATTGCTATAATTGGCAATTAGCAATTAAAAAAAAAAAAAAAAAAAAAAGAGTTTGAGGAAAATCTTTTGCAGAAAGGAGAGCGGAATGTGTTATGCTCTGTGCATAATCCAGAGTGCAGCAAAGTTGGACTGCTAGAAAAAGTGACAAGTGTCTTGATTAGGGAAAGTCCAAGCAAGATGATGTTGCAGGTAATGCTTAAAAAACAGAAAAGGCGATTTTGGATTTCTTGACTCCTATACCTGTTACTCATACGGTATGACTAGATATCTGAAAAATGTGTGCAAACAGGAAGAATGAGTTTCTGTAAGTTTGGGTGACAGAGTATTTAACTAAGTAGGTTGTGAGTGTGGCTTTGATATTTTTTTTAATGTATGTATAAAAATAAAAGCTTTAGTGACCTGGTCAAAATAACCAGAACAGCTGTTTTTGAAGGTTGAGTCATTTTAAGGGGATTTGCTTGTATTTTGAAAGTTTTGTCTCTGTTTTCATCTCCTTATTTCTTCATAGTGCTACCAGTTCTACAGATCAGAAGCGTGAAGGTGAAATGACTGTTCTCGATCTGTACTACTCCACTTTTTAAACGCTGCATGTGGATGTATGGTAGAGGGAAGAGATGCTCTGCTCTTTCTATTTGTCTACACAACTAGGTCCTATATATTAGTAGTATAGTGTGTGTGTGTGTGTGTGTGATAAGTCACGTTTGCTTATCTAGTTTTTAAGGTACAGCTGTCTTCAGACAAGTTGTTAGAAAAGTTTAGAATTGGACCAGACATGATAACTATAATTTTTCCTTGAGTAACACTTAGAAAATGCCAGCTCTGAGCCAGCCCAACACTTTGCTTTGTTTAGGGCTGCCCAAGCATATTATGGCATCTATCTTGGGTAACTAGTTGAAGCTGGGAAGTCATCTGAGGTTTATACATCTGTAGTCAGCTAGAGTATACTTTCTAATTGACCTTTCTTTTTTATTTTTGTTTATTTGAGTGGCTTTCCCCAAATACTGGAACTGTACTGCCCACAGTAGGAAAGCCAGCATGAAAAACGACAGAAGTCTCGTGGTACGAGTGAAGTGCTCCACCTGCCTGTGTGGTGTATGGATTCGCCACCAGTATTAAAGGCACAAGCCACATGGGAAAGGATTGCTTTTAAGTGACACGATTAGGTGTGATGGAAGCGTTGCTGATTCCTGTAGGTGCAGAATATTCTGGCCTTTACATATTAAATACAAGTTTTAGATTTTTTTTCTCTTCTTTTTTTAGAAGTGCCTTTTATCATAAGTATTGTTATTTTACTGCATTACCAGATGAAATAATAGGAAATAGGATCTTGGTGCTGGAAACTTATGAATGATCAGATAATTTGTTAGGTGCCTGTTTTGAAACATCAGCTGATAAATTCAGTGTAGGTTTTTGGTTACCTTTCTTATTTCAAATAGGAGTTTTCAGTAGTGTTTGCTTATTTATTTTGAATTCCTGACTCTTCAGACAATAATAAAACTGTTGTTATTATTAAGACATGCAGGTCAAAAATAAATTTCACAACAAATCTAATCCCAAGACTAGGTTCTTATGTGCTTTAGTCTTTATACTACCAAAGATTCACTGCTGTAACCAGTGATCAGAATGGCCTGTTTTCTGGACTATGGTAGGATACATTGTCCTATTATTTTTGCAGCTGTAAGTAACTTGTTCAGGCTTTCAACTTCAGCTGCTTAGTGCTGGTGAATCATGGTGTGAGCACAATTTTCTAGAACTTGCCATTCTGCAAGTGACTTTTCTGCCAACAATTAGGATGATAAAGCAGCAAAGTAATCCCCCCACTTTAATAATGTAAGGCTCCAGTTTGGAGAAAGCATGCTAGCACTACATACACTTTAAAAAGAAAAAATCCTGTAAGTCTGTTTCGGTTATCACTGCTTTACACTTGATCAGTAGTTTCTGGAAATGAGCGGCACACCTTTGTATCATTATTGTCCTCTTTATAGCATTGAAAAAGCAGATTTATGTAGTAGTAACTGAAGGGAAACAGGCTGCTGTGATGGAGCTGCTGCATGGGATATTCTGTGGATTCTGAGTAATCGTTGTGGTGAGCTGAGCAGCTGCAGTATCTTCCATTTAAGATCGTTCAGCAACGAAGAGTGCGCTGGTGGTGAATCTCCTGTGCAACCATTGAGACAGTAACAAATACGAGGCACTTGTGTTGTATGTAGTGTCAATTGGCTTGCAATATGCAGGAGTAAGCTTTGTTTGTGGGTACACTGCGTCTGCTTAGTTGGATGCTCTTCGTCTGTTATACTTAAATGGTGACTTTTATGCTTTTAGTCTATAAATGGGCTTGTCTACCCTGAGAAGATATGCTTTTAGTCTATAATTGTCAATATTATAAACAATTTTCTTCTATGAAGAAGTTGCTTGGTTAGGAGAGATACAGTTCTTTTAAATGGGCTTGTCTACCCTGAGAAGATGGAGAAGAATTGGAATTAATTAGCAGTACTGTCAGTATGTGCTATAGAAGTAGTTAAGAGAATGAAGACAAAATTCAATTTGTCAGAAGAATCTGTATCAGAGAAGAGGCAATGCTTGCACAAAAGTCTTTTCTGAGTGGTGGGAGGTCATGAATGCCCTAATATCAAAATGACTTGGTGTGAAGTCAGTGGAGTCTGACTTCTGCCTTAAAGAGTTTGTATTTGTGCTTGTAGCAAGTGTGCTGGGTGTAGGGCAATTTTGGTGCATTTATCAAAATAACTCGGAGGATGTTTCCCTGTGAACATTTTACCTACTCTAGTCCCTGCATTTTTAAAATCACAATTTCAAACTGCTAATCTTTTATTCTGATTCTCCAAGTGTTTCATGCTATGTGGTTCTGGAGGCTTTTGTCTGCTACTAAGCCAAAGTCATGCATGGTGTTGATTACTTTCTTGGTAAATGTTCTTTCTTACTCAAAGCTGAAATTACACCTCTTTGGAAGACTTGGCAAGAGCATACTGCATGGTAGGGTGTATGTTTTCATGCTTCCATGGGATTGTTGGTGTTGGCAGTACAAAAGCTCTACTGTGGGACTTCACAGTAAATTCTTTAGGGAAAAGGAAGTAAAAAGAAAACTAATGTGCCGTGTTCTAAAAGCGGGGACAGAGGAAAAATAGTAAGATACAGAGGTTAGCACATCTGAGGAAAAGCCAACGTGATTTAATAAATAGTATATGCCATGACTGAGGAGGAAGAGTTGGAGGAAGCATAATTCTTGTTGAGGGCTAGAAATACTGGATTATTTTTGAATGTTGATGATACTCAATATCAGGTGACCAAAATAAGTGAAAAACGTGAATGCAAAAACAGCATACTTGATGCAACCTTCTGAGCATGTCCATGGCTAGGGAAGGAAGCTCTTGCCCCTCCTGCTGCTGGTTTATAAGCAAGCAAAGTGTGGGGCTGCTGGCTTAGTGCTTGAAACCACGTGCTGAGGCTTTAAATAATTGGGGAAGAGTAGTTTAACATTAGTGCTTGGGACTTCTTTTTTATTATTATTTATTTATTTTTCTTTTCACTCTCTATTGGAACACCAAAATGTGATGTCTCACCTTGAAAAGTTGCAGAGTGGTGTTTTGTTTTCATACACATTTCTAACAATTCCAAACACGAAACTAATGTGCTGGATAAGGAATGTAGTACGGGCTTGCCTCTCGTGTACAGAACAGAAATACTTGAATGTAATTACCTTCACTATGTAATCTCTTATGCTTCAGAAAGCTGTGTGGTAAGTTAATAGCTTTGTATATGAAAACTGTATTAAACAGGGCTGCTTTTGAAGATGTGAGCAGTGCTGGAAGTTGATTTCTAACTGTGGGGCTTTACGTATGGCAAGCTTTGGAAGACTTTCCTGCAAGCTTTAATAGAACAGGACTGTATGCAGCTTCTTGATTATGCATTTGCTTAAGAGGTCTAGCAGTGTGCTCAAAACTAGTGAGTAAACATTGACCAAATATGAGCATGAAAATAGTGAGGTGCTTGAGATGTGGTGAAGCAAGGGAAACTGCTGTTTGAACTACTATTGTCTGCATTAGAAAAACAAATATGATATGCTACACTTAATTATCATTTCTTACTGATATGCTAAAGAACACAATTTTTTCTTAACTTGGTGAGTTTTGTGGGCCTGAGATATCTTCTTCTTCTGAAAACCACTAGCAGTAATGAAGATGTGCAAACTCAGAATAACTGATCTCATCTAACAATCCCCAAAATGTCTATATAATAAGCTGCTACAATAAAATTCCTAGGTCTCCAGGTTTTTAATTGTAGTAAACGAATGCCTTTTTATCCACAGATGTTAGTTGTTGAATAGTGGGCTTGATTTGACCAAAGGACTTGGAAGATGAAAGAAAAAGTATGAAGTACGGCAAATATTTGAGAAAAGTGAATCAAGCAAGTCTTAAATATAGGAAGTTATGTTATTTCTGAGCTTCTGAAAAATAGTGAAACACCCAGGAAAACAACTTAACTTGGAACTACAAAACAAGACCTTGGGCAGTGTCAATTTGTTACTGCTGTATGTTATGCCGCTATGCAAACAACCAATCTCATTCTGTTTATAAAGGAGCTGAGAACTTGTTGAGTTGGCCTGGTGTGCTCTGTGCTGTCATGCAGTATTAAATATGTGGTTAGTTGCTTTGGGCTTTTTTGCTTAACGAGCATGGGATTGGGAGCCTGATCTAATGCAGGCTTGGAAAAGGTGCAGACATGAAATGGAGAAAAGCCGAAGTGGGGAGGGATAGGGTCTAAGGAATGAGCCAGGAAGACATTTGGAACCCTGTAAGTCAGGAAAAAATCGTGGATAACTTAATTGCTGCAATGTTATTGAAAACCTGGCAAAAATAAATTAATGAAACATATAGCTGTATTTCTGAAGGGCATAGTAGAATGGTTTCTACTGTTCTGTTTAGGCTCAAACGTTTTCTGAAACTTCCATCAACCTTTTTCCCCTGACTGCTGCTTTCTGTCATGTCAGAGGATGAAGTTTTTGCTGCTGCAGCAGAAGTACCTGGAATACCTGGAGGATGGCAAGGTTCTGGAGGCACTTCAAGTTCTACGCTGTGAACTGACACCGCTGAAATATAATACAGAACGCATTCATGTCCTCAGCGGGTAAGTGTTTGGCTTTTGAGAGCTCTATCTATGGAATTTGCAAAGGAATTCTATACCTTGGGAGAGAAAAAGACCTGGTTGTTATTTTCTAGTCTAAAATATTTTAAAAAGCCTTTGAGAATGAATGTAAATGAAATAGTTACAGCACGAAGGCAAGGCATTTTTTGCCCATCTTTGGGCCTCACTCTAATCTTGTTGAAATCAACAGAACTCTAGTTACGAGGCATGCTTCCTCTACCTGCCTTTTTTTTAAAAAAAAATTACTGACACTTTTAAAGAAGTTATATTTTTATCAAAGCTCTTATCCTGTCGATTAACATGCAATAGTGAGATGCTTGAGATGCTGTTTAAAATAGTGAGTAAAGAAAAACATTCCATAGACAGTGTTCTTTTAGATGAAAGTAACTCGTTTATGATTTACTTTCATAGTGCTGGAACCCAGATCAATCCATACATGTGTTTGGTTGTGCGTTTTTGAAAAGTGTTAGTCATCTTGTAAATGAATAAGTATTCTTAAGTAGGTAGATATCATTTGGTCTGTTTGGTTTTGTCTTCACCAAAATCTGTGCGCTGTGTGTGTGGTGTGGTTTTTTTTTTTTTTTTGTATTGGCAATTTATAGACATTAGTTTCAAAAAAGATGTATGAATGTGTGGAATAGTCCCTGCTATTGTTCTCATCAGTCTTTAAGTCAGTTAATTTCAAAATGTTTAGAGTTGGAAAGAAGAATGCTGTGATACATATCACGTTTAAAATTGGAAGGAATGATTCTAGGAAGACTTGGTCTGTTACTGTGTGTGCTCTCTCCCCCCCCTTTTTTTTTCTTGTTTTCTTTCCTTTTAAACAGGTATCTGATGTGCAGCCATGCAGAAGACTTGCGTGCAAAAGCAGAGTGGGAAGGGAAAGGAACAGCTTCCAGATCTAAGCTTTTGGATAAACTCCAGAGTAAGAAGTTCTAGTGTTTAGAACTTATTCCCATCTTTGTAAATCCAGTACGTTATGCATAATTGCATATTCCAGGGAATTGATTTTTGTTTTTAAATAGCATTTGCCTGTTGGTGTTCCTGTAGTTCTTGATTAGGAAGGATGAGCAGAGGTGCCTTCAGCACTTTGCTCTACTAAATCTTAAGGTTGTCTCTAAGAGACATTGTAACGGCAGCTCTGGCCTCTTAGCTATGTTGCATGCAAAACTAGTATAATCTGGTGTAGGGTTTTTCTTCCTTTCTATTTCAGCTACGTTGTATGTCATTTAAATGTCCTATAATCACCCTCATACTAGTACTGCTTGATACTGGTGTAAAACTGTACTAGAGTAATGGTTTTGCCTCACAGTTCCTTGTGGCTGATGTAATACAAATTTTTCAGCTCTTAAGAGTGTTGTTTGGGCAGTATTGATGTTAGAGTCCCTCAAACATGAATGCTGTATTCCATAGCTTTATAGATTTTTTTTCTTAAATATAGTTTTGATTAAGTTCATGTAAATGATCCTGTTGGCCAGGACAACATACTGTAACTACAAATGTTCTGTATACAGCTCTGCTTTCCAAAAGTTTATTCTTTGTTTCAGCTGTGCAGCTATAAACTTCACAAGCTATGTGCACTCTTGCTTGTAACATTTAAGTTGTAATTACTTTAAGTCACTTCCAAAAACATTCAAATATGCTTTTACTTGTAACGTGATTTTGATATATCTTTTTATATAACTCTTCTAAAGCATACCTACCCCCATCAGTGATGCTTCCTCCAAGGCGTTTACAGAATCTGCTGCGTCAGGCTGTGGAGCTACAACGGGATCGGTGCCTATATCATAATACCAAACTAGATAATAATCTAGATTCTGTCTCGCTGCTTATAGACCATGTTTGTAGTAGGTAAGAAACCTTTGCTATTTTTAAGATGGACAGTGATGTCTCTGTCTTTTGCTAAATACTCTAATTGCACCTGCTGTTTAAAGGAATATGAATACAGTTTTGGTTGTCAGTTATCAAAGAAGAATTTGATAATAGGCTGTGGGATAACAGGGACAGGCTTAAGATTTTAGTCAGATTTGTATGAATAGAATATGTTGCAATGCTAAGGCTTAAATGCTTGTTGCTTGACTTTGGGCAGCTAGTCTGTTTATTTATCAATACCTGATTCCAGAGTTATAACTGGAGAATCACTAGTACGTTACTTACCCAGGCTGTCTTTAAGTTCAGTAGCTTGTAGAAAGCATACCTGCTTCGTGAGGTCGTCTTTCATCTTCAGCTCCTAATAGTAATATATTTTTAGATGCACACTAAAAAACAGGAATGTCGTTACATGTTTCTGCTCTGTTCTATCTAATACATAATATGACTGACAAAGCTCTATTTTTCTTAGATTTGTAAAGGTATAAACATTGAACTTTTTTTTTTTCTGTATGTGTTAGTTCTTAAGGCTATTTGAATTTTAAAAAGTCCTGCTCCTGAACCTTAAAAATGCTATCTTCCTGTGGAGATCAGGCAGGAAGACTTTGTTTCCTACAAATGGCTGACTTGACTGCTTTTTTTTTTTTTTCAACCACGGAAAACTCAATTGAGGACCGAACACCTCAGTGTGCCCCTGTAGCTCTTGTGGGAAAACTGCTGTGCATGATGTAATTGGGGGGAAGAAAGGGCTATAAGCTCTAGGATCATAAGGCACCTAGCAAAAAGGGGCAGATATGATACCCTTGTGTGCTTTTTGGTGTAGTAAGTTAACACTCAGTCTTGCAGGGAAGCTTTTTCCAGGTTAAGGTTAGCTGATAAGCTTGTTTTTAGAAACTTTCTGAACTCCAGCTGCTTTTACTTCTGTTCTCAGGTTACTTGGATTTATTTTATTTTTGACAGATTTCAATAGTACTTCATTACCTATTACTTGAAGCCATCTTTAAGTTTTAAAAGTTAGTGTCTTGGGCACTTTGTCTACTTGAGTAACAACTTAGACTATTTTCTAGCTTGCATTTTTGCCACATCTGATTCATGCTATTGCAGCAGTTTCATGTGTATGTGTGGACATATGAATGACTTTACAATTATAAAAGATATTGGATGACAAAAAGATATTGGATGACAAGATACAGGAATTGTGGCTTTGCTACTTCAGAAATGAGTCTTAACATTAGACTGAGTGCAAGTAGTGACTTTTAATTTTAGGCTTTCTGCAAGTACATAACACTTGATGTTCCCTAGCTCGTTTGTGATTAATCAACCCCCAAAGAGCATTCAAATAAATTGTGAAAGATGGTTTACTGAAGATAAACTAGATTAGAACCAGATATAAAATATACTATATGCTCCAAATCTGTACTTGAATTTCAGCCATCTGAATCTACTTGCTGACATAAGTTTGGCAAAGTATCTTTCAGCTAATGTGGTGCTCTGTAGGCTAGCACAATTGGTATGTATATGTACATACTCATGGCTATAATTTCTCCCCCATCCCCAAAAAAGAAACACCCCAAAACAAAGGCTTCCATTCTGTCCTCAACTCAACCTCTTGTACCTACCTATTGCAGGGGTCAGAGATCAGTATGTGGGGCGCTGTACATGCTGCAATGCTTGGGCATAATGAGGTGAGTTAAAGACAGTGGAAGCCAAATTTTGATTAAACTCACAGAAGTAACAGTCTAATAGTTTTGACAAGTTCTGTAATGCTTAAATGATAGAACACTGACAACTTCCACGTTTTTGAGTTGGGACTAATCTGTATTGAACTTGTGGCAGTGCTCTGCTTGAGCATGCACGGATTGTACTAGGGAGCACCATGCTGGGCTAAAATTAATCCCTTGGTAAGGGTGGGAGATAGGAGGGAGTAGCTGCTGACAGTGAAGATGAGGGGTTTTTCTCCTTGCTTTTTCTGAGATGGGTAATAGAAGGTAGATGAGGGCAATTGTTTAATTTGTATTCACTTTATTGTTTACTCTTGAGAGCTGTAAAGCTAGTCTCTTTTTGTGGAATTCTGCCCTGTTTTTTCATGCAAGTTAGGCTGTTTTTAGAAACAGACATTGAAGCCCAAGAAAGAGGTGAATGCTGTTTTTTAGCTACTGGGCTAATGTAGCTATTTTGAAAAAGAGTATCTTAACAAGTGGAGGGTATATCTTTAATTGTATGTGTCAGGATTAGTGAAGCTGTTGCTTGAGATCAAATTTAGAATTTAAAACGTTGTAAATACAGTAGCAGATGACTTTTAGAAGCCTTTTATCGGTATGTGAACAGCATGATTTAAATTCATGTGCAGAACAATTTGTAATGCAACACTTAATGTAAAACCTCTTCGGGCCACAGTAATACCTAATTATCTAAGATGGAAACTGTTAAACTCCTATGTTAAGTTCCTTGTTTTGAGACCGCTGCTAACTTGTGGAAAGTGTCTTTAATATAAACTCCACGATCTGTCAAGTCAGACTTGCTGGATTTTGTGCCTCATCCATAAAATGAGGAGAACTTTTCATGAGTGAGCTCTGATCTAACTGGATTGGGATGTGTCTGCAGCAACTGTATTGGCTCTGCCTGTTACCTTTCCCAGGATATAAAGACTGCTTAGAGTGAAGACTGAGGACTATGGCATTACTCTGCTGCTTTTTTAGGACTTTAACTTGAGCTTTTTTTTTTCTTAAGATGGAAAAGTTGTTATTTTTTTTCTTCAATAAAATATGCTGAAGAGGCTTGGCACTATGTCCCTTGTACCCTGTAGGATTTAGGGATAAAGACTCTTTTACCTTCAAGAAGCAATTGCAGCTCTGAAGAAAAACATTTAACTTACTGGATTATGGCTAAATAATGATGAAATCCTCTTCCTGTAGGAGCATGGACTCATTTGAGGGTTTGCTTGCCTCTCTCCAGACCCCAAGAAAACCCATTCTCCATCATGGATGCAGCTTTTTGGTGTGGCCTTAGCAGCAACCAGGCAACTCCTGGTCAGCTTCAGGCGGGAGCAGACCAGCCTTGTGCCTCTGTGTAAGAGGAAGCCAAGCGCAGATGTGGATGTGTGTGGCTTGTTGTTTATTCTGTGCTGTGATAAGGTGGTGGTTGAGTGTTGTCTCAATGCTCTCTCAGCATGGAACTAGTAAGTGTCTTCTAGTAAATGAAAATGTAATGGCAGGGTTTGGCGTATTAAGTGGCACTTTTTCTGGTAGGAAGTAGTTTTCCTGGTGTCTAAAAGCTTTGTACATCCAAACTTTGTTTTAAATGAAGTTCCACGGGAACTTAAGGAAAAATTTCTTGACAGTGATGGTGACGGAGCACTGGAATAGGTTGCCTGTTTCTTTGGAGATGCCACCCTGTGCCACATGCTCCAGGTGTCCCTGCATGGGACTAGGTGTCTAAAGGTCCCTTCCCACCTTAAGGATTCTGTGATTCTAAGAGTTAATTCCCTGTTTATCTCCAGTGTTTCATACACCAATGCAGCGTTTTCTCGCTATAGTTGCGTCCCTGTGTCCCATTGTGGGCTGGTTTTGCTCTGGCAGGCCAAGTACCATTTAAAAGCTCGATATAAGAGGGAGCTTGGAGGGGGCTGGTTTTGTTTAGGAAAAAACGTGAACAGTTTGGCAGGGCCTTTCAGTGTGTCTGAACAATTAGCCTGTAATAACTGCAGTATTGCTTAGAAAAGCACTCTGTGTGAAAAGCTTGGACTTGTTTTAGGTCTACAGCGGATGACCTGTAAATTTAAAAAAAAAAAAAAAAAAGTTTTATTTTGTTACCTGAACTTATTCTTTTGGCCCTTTGCTCTTTCTTGGTGTAACTGGCTGATTAAATGCTAGCTACAATAGAAAGTCAAACTTTTTACAAGTTTCTCTTTCTATAGTTTAATAGTTTAGTTAATAGTTAAGGTATATAATATTTAGCTTGATAAACATTTAATACTTTATGAAATCCACAGCATTTTGTGAGGGGAAAACCAGTTGAAAGCTTATAATGGTGCCTTGCTAGTTATACTTAGATGCTGTATGTGATTCTCTGGCCCAGAGAGTGGGATGAGGGAGGGGAGACATAGAATAAAGGCAAAAATCACTAGCTTATTGCAAGATCACAAACAAGAAAAAGGTGTTCTTATTCAGCTGTTATGTAAGAAACATTTCTACAGATCTGACAAAACATTAGATACTTTCAGTAGCTGTACATACAACACACCGAATATTTTCTGTAGGGCTCAACGAGCCTGGGACTGCAATACTTTGTACTTACAGGAGTATATAGGAATTAACTGTTACTGTTCTAAGAAGATCAGTTTTATTCCAACCTACACGAAAACATAGTTCATTATGGGGAAAAAATTATCAGAGTAACTCTAAATTCTTTCAGTTAACTGCAGTCACTTGGCAGCCTGATGTTTTCTCCATCTAAACTTCATCCTGTACTTGTTTGAAGCAGCTGCTTTTCTAAACTGTCTGGTTTCACATCTAATAGATTTTTATTTTTAAATAGTCATTTATCTAGCAGCAAAAATGAAGTCTTGCTACTTTCTGAAGCTGTTTAATACATCCTTGTTCTCTTCCTCAGGAAACAGTTCCCGTGCTACACACAGCAGATACTTACGGAGCACTGTAACGAAGTCTGGTTTTGTAAATTCTCCAATGATGGCACTAAACTAGCAACAGGATCAAAGGACACAACTGTTATTATATGGCAGGTTGATCCAGTAAGTTTGCAACATCTTCTAAAATGTGCATGACTTGTCTTTCTCTCCTTACTTTTTCTCGCTAGGATGGCCTTTTTTATTTATAAGGCAGTCTAAAACTTACTGTAGCCCAGTGGTTAGGGCATCTCTTCAGGTTATGAAAGACAGAAGATCAGTCTGATCCAGGTTAGGTAAGGAAGACAGCTGAAAACCAGATGCCTGAATGTAAGAGGAGTTTTAGTGCCTGAGCCGTTGCCTGCTTTGAGGCAGGATTTCCCTGTGCTTCTAACCAGCATCACTGGGAAGGAGGAAGCACTGGGTGAGAGTGGAAGGAGGAGAATGGCCATGAGCAGAAATGGCCTTTTATTCCCTAGTGCTTATAATGACTATATAATAGCAAGACTTTTGATGTATATACCTGACTAACCTTTTTCACATGTTTATTTTATCTGGTTACTACTAACATTTTTAGGTCTAAATACTTTAGTCCACCATTTGTCATATTATAAAATGGTGTGTGATGAACTAAAACTGCATTAGTCCACCACTGTGCTAGTTGTCACTGTGTGATTTGCCTGTGTTTGAGGTGAAGATTTAAGCACCTGCCAGAAATTACTGACACATCAAAGTATATCCAGTCACATTTTGCAGGCTGCATTTCTAGCTTTGATACCAACATTGGCACTGTTCTTCCTATATGAAATATAAATCTTGTTGCTGCAGGATATCTTTCCTACTTGTATATATTACTGTGTAAATAAAGAGCTTAAGCAGTGAATCAAAGACTGTTTTAATTGACTCTGCTAGAAATGGGGTGAAAATGTCAGTGTTCCCTAACTGAAACCAGGCTCTGGTTAGTTAGCTGTGCACACAATTTCTGGAGTTTTCTTTTATTTTTCTGTATGTGTGTGCTGTTGTTGAAAGGGTCAGCTACTGAACTGAAGGGTGGTCTGTAGTGGGAAAGCTGGTGTGCATGGTTGTTCTGCAAGCAGCTGTCACTGAAGCTTTCTGACAAGCTTTGAATTACAAGTTCCTTGGTCAAGGCAGCAGTAGAATAGTGGTGGCACAAAGGTGATAACGAGAGGCTCTGTGGGCAAAGTATGTGTGTGTGTGTCTTCTCCCACTAATTCTGGCAGAAGAGATGCACAACTTGTTCTAGGCAGCACTTCTGAAATAAGAACAAAGCTCAAGCTCTCTATTTTTTTTCCATAAAGTCTCTTGCTTGACCAACATGCACAAGATGCCTTCTGCTTGTAGAAGCAGCAGTAGGATGTTTCTTCTCAGCATTCATGAAGGTTTTAGGAGCTCTACTGCTTAACCATAGCAGGTTTCTAGCATGTCTGTGCTATTTTTTTTAAGAAAGTAACTTCATTCTGTAAACTCTGGATAATTGTACTTTTCTATTCCAGCAAATGTAGAGACTTGTTCTAGCATGCGAGGTTCCTGTTATATCAAATGTTATGTAACATACATAGGGTATGCAACAACCTTTTGTGAATTCCACATTCAAAATTATGGGAGATGGAAACAGGATCCCTACTACATTTGCTCTGCATGCTTTGCTTTTTCTTTTTATGGCTCTACTTGGTAAACTAGCAGCTACTTTTTGAGAAGAAACTCATGTGACTTCTTAAGAAGCAGGTGCCAAGTTCCCCTGTGCAAACTTTCCATGCTGTGCTTGGACGTAGTGTGCATGCAGAACCTCCAAGGAGTTCATCTGCATTGTCTTAACAGCATCTCTCTCATGTTTCAGGATACTCATCAACTAAAACTGCTTAAGACGTTAGAAGGTCACGCATACGGGGTCTCTTACATTGCTTGGAGTCCAGATGACAACTATCTTGTTGCCTGTGGCCCAGATGATTGTTCTGAACTTTGGCTCTGGAATGTACAAGTGAGTGGTGCCCAGGAGTAAAAATAAAACTTCATCAGCCTGCTGACTTTGTTCAAATATTTAAATATGTAACCATAAAGGAAGTCATTTCAGAAAGCTTGTTCTACAAAGGTGTGAATGTGAAAGAGTGATCTTTCTCCCAGTTTTGAAAAATGACAGCCTAATAGATTACTAGTAGTTTTTGAGGAAAAGATGGATTAAATCTGTAGGACCTTGGAGAGCTACTGAAGAGAATAACAGAGAAAGCTAATCAAGAAAAACAAAGGGCAGGAGTTCGACCTGGAGGGGCGCAGAGTTATGGGAGAATTGAACGAGTAGCAAAAATAAAAGCTTATTTTTCATGTTGTGTAAGTCTCCCAGAGATTTTAAAGGAAGGTCCAGAGAGGCTTAAATTTATAATCTCAAGACTTTCTTTCGATTAAATGCTACAGAATTTGGCCATTGTCTTAAGTTTAAAAATCCTGTTTTGCTTTGGTTCTTATGTGCAACTGTGTTGATATAAAAGCTTCCCCTGCCTCTGTTGTTGGCTATGTATTAGTCTAGCATTGTCTTGTACTCTGGAGTAATTTAGCTTCCTGAAACGTTTTTTTCCCTTTTCTTTCATTCTTTGGAGACTTTTCAGCTGTTTTAATTAATTAAATTGGCTCAGTGAAGAGTACCAGGGCTGGCATAAAGGAGAGGAAATAAGTACTTATAGTTTTGGTGGTGGTAAGTGTATATTGGCTGTCTTGTGGAGCAGTAGCATTATAGCTCAGGGATGAAAGCAAAACTTTGGCATGGAGAGCTTCAGTTTGGGAAGAAAAATGTTCTAAACACTCTCTTACTCCCCCTGCTTACTCAAAGCTATTTTTATCATCTCTAGGTTTTTTTTTGTCTTCTGCCTCCTCATTTTCCATATTTTTCTTCTATTCCATATTTATGTTTTATTGGTTCTCTTGCATTTTCCAACTTCTTTAAAATTCCTTTTTAAAAAATAATTTTCTTTGAGTTTACTGACGCACCTGCCATGTATTTCATCTCTCCTGATTTGAGGCACAAAAAAAGAGATATCCCTAAAGTCACAGGTTTCTGGACATGTTTTGATTGAGTGTCAGTATTTATAGATTCACATTTCTCTTTAATTCTAATTAATACGATGAAACATACCTATTGCCAGACACAGCATGTGTCAGGTGAACTTACCCATGCCTTTTGAGAAATGGGTCTGCTGGTTGGTATAAGGTCAAGCCATCTGTTTATTTTCCAGACTGGGGAGCTGAGGACAAAGATGAGCCAGTCTCATGAAGACAGTTTAACAAGTGTGGCCTGGAATCCTGATGGGAAGCGCTTTGTCACAGGAGGTCAGCGTGGACAGTTCTATCAGTGTGTGAGTACTCTCCATCTGTCTCCTTGAAAACAAAGCTAGGCATGAAGGTTTTGTCACGGTGAAATGTGAGGTACATATCTTTCAAGGTTTTCTGTCTGTCTTTGCGTATGCATGCATGTGCTAAAAGTTAAGTTAATCTTCAGAAATTGCAGTTTATGTATATGAAAAAAATTATTTGTAATCTTCTGTAATTCAAAAGAAGCAGTGCAGTGCATTAATGCTAGTATTCCAGCAGCACTTTTCCTTGTTTTGTAGCAATTAGAAAGGTTCAGCACCTCTTAGAGAGTCTCCTACTTAAAGGAGAATTTTTGCGCCAGGAATCTTTTTTAATAGCTGCTCTGAAAAATGTATTAATTAAAAAGTAGTGCCTTTGCCCACAAAAGTTGTGTGTTTCGTAGAACTCTGGCTATGTTGTTTTACTTTCTGAAAGCTGTTTTAGCTTACCATAAATGGAAGATCAAAATAGAAACCATATTACTTGAAGTGCTGGTTTTGGGTGGTGGTTTAGTCTTACTCTGCATTTGTTGTTACTGGAATCAATGCCCTGCATAACAAGGTGATATGCAAAGCTCTGTCCCCACCAAGGTTAGGCAGCACATCTGTTTTCTGGCATGAACTAGATGTTACATGATCAAGCAGGAGGAAATAAATGGATTTTCAGTTCTCCAGAACAGGTATCTACAATAACCCTCGGTTAACCCAAGGGATGTCCTAATCTAAGTCATCTCTGCTGCAGGCTAATACCACTTTCTGCAGCAACTGGGTGAAGAGGAGACAAAAATACATGTGTCACGGAATTTGACAGAAGTCCAAGACTAACAGTTCTTTCTCTCTCTCTTGTAACCAGGATTTAGATGGTAATCTACTTGACTCCTGGGAAGGGGTGAGAGTACAATGCCTTTGGTGCTTGAGTGATGGAAAAACTGTTCTAGCATCGGACACGCACCAGCGAATTCGGGGTTATAACTTTGAGGATCTTACAGACAGGAACATGTAAATACCTTTTTCATCTGTTTTCTTCCTGGTTCTTATCATGAGAAGATTAAGAATGGGGTTATGTGCCAGGGTGGGAAAGATGTTCTTACTATGGCCATATATAATATGGAATAGGAATTAGTGAGTGTGAGATGGAGCAAAGAGGATAAGATCAGTTGTTAGAAACAACTTTCTAAGCATTGGAGTGGGTTTCTTGTGCATGTTTCTAAATCTCATTCTAGAGTTTTCTTTATACCTCACAATTCCTGGCCCATTTTAGATCTGTGCAGGAGTTGGGAGTTGGGTATGAGTCTTGGGATTCATTGTAATGCAAGCAGGCTATTGCAGACCTAGCTCGTATGGAATACATGCCTAATTTCAAAGGCAGTTTCAACTTTGAAACTGTTTATCGCTGATAATGTTGCAGAAGCAGTGTATGCCTTCTATTTTTGATGTGGTGTTACTGTTTGGTTAAATGTATTCTTAACACTGATGCGTTTTGTAATTTCAGAGTACAAGAAGATCACCCTATTATGTCATTTACTATTTCAAAAAATGGCCGTTTAGCTTTGTTAAATGTAGCAACTCAGGTGAGTTGATGATAAATGGAAGTGCAAATAAACCTGCTTATAGCCGGTAAGCCTTTTGCAATATTTTGATGGAGCTTGGGATGTTTGCCATCAATCAGTTGCATTTCACATAATATGAAGACCTCAATGCTCACAAGTACAGAATAACATTCTCTGACAAGAAGGTGATCTTATTCCTAATAACAATTTTCACATTGATTTATAGTCAAGAGTTTCATACTGTGAACTATATACTATTGAATATTAATATCTGAGTGTAGTGTTGGGAAGCCAGGTACAGCAACGGTTGAGGTGTTGATATTTCACAGTCTTTACCTGTTGGAAGATTTTTATTTCTTCTGAGAATTGTGGACTTCTGGAGGTTGTTTTTTGGTGGTGTTTATTTTTTCTTAACTTGAATAAGAATAGAAGTTTTTGAAATAGAAGGGACTATAGAAAGGAAATGTAAGCTAGTAATTTGGTATAGCTAGTAATTCACCTTTACTTGCTTGAGCTGTTAACAGTAATGAAGTTGGCTATAGTAGTGTACTTTGTTTTTCATTGTTTGAAATATTTCAAGAATGACAATAGATAATGTTTAATGATAACGTTTTCTTTACTTCTTATTCCTAGGGAGTTCACTTATGGGACTTACAAGACAGAGTTTTAGTGAGAAAATATCAAGGTGTTACGCAAGGATTTTACACAATCCACTCATGTTTTGGAGGTCACAACGAAGACTTCATCGCGAGTGGCAGTGAAGGTAATAGCATCCCCCGTTTTGCAGAAAAGTGGCACATCATTTATTTCCTGTATCTACTCATACAGTGTTCGTGCCAGCAGCTGTCAATCTCTAAAGCAAGCAACTGGTTCATTAAATAACCGTTTGAGCAGCAATGAGATTGTTGCATATTTCAAAAAATAAGTGTGTTAGCAGGGGGAAAAAAAAGTCTTTAGAGAGGCTAGTGCTAGTAGAAAGCATAATTAATCTTCTGTCTTGCTCCTTTCAGACAAACCATCTGCATAGTTTTAATTAAAAGTGGAGGGAGTCTTCTAGAGGTGTTTTTTGTTTGTTTTTGTTTTCTTTTGTTTTTTAAACAGTATGACACTTGGACTCATGGTTTGAATCAGAAGTACTTTTTCTTGGAAGTAACAGCTTCATCTACATGTTCATGATAGGTGTGGCCAAATTATTTTAATTTCGGTATATGAAGGGAATGGTGTCCAGTGAAGCAGTTATTGATGTAGTATTTATGGTAGGGTATCCTGGTGATCAAAGGCTTGTGATGTCTTCTAATAAAACTGTAGATAGAGCAGGAATTAGTTAATGCTACTTATCTTCAATTGGTTTGGTTCTGTTGCTGATGTAGTCCCATCACCTCCCATCAAGGTCAAGTAAAATTCAAGCCTGAAAATTCAAGCAAAAATTTGTGCATACCAGATAAGTAATCAATTCTTGTATGAAGTAACTCACAGCTATTAGGAAATGTTGACCAGGATAAAGGGACTTGGAAAATACCCAGATGCATCTAAAATCAAACCAACCTTCCCACTCTGACCGGACGCAGTGGAAGATAGTGACTGAAGGACAGCATCTCCAATCCCAGTGTCCCTTCATCCTTGAGCCAGATCCCTGGTGTGAGGCTTGAGTACCAGAAAGTTCAGAACATGTGTGTTGAGCTCCACTGATGATGTGCACATACGGTGCACATACAGTGCACCAATCTCTCTTATTTATTTTTTCTTCCTTCTCTCTCTCTGCTCACTTTGTGGGCATTTTGCTTGTGACCTACTATTTTGTGTGACATGGTGTGGTGATGACTTTGAAAAAAAATATTATCTTAAGAACAGCTTTCTCTGAGTTTCGCTGTTTTTTTAAAAAAAAGTACTTGATTGTAGTTGAAGCTGATGGTGCCTTATTTACATTTGGACTGCCTGCAGCTCTTGACTGAATTGTTGAATATGTGGCTGATGTGAAAGACTTTCTATGTATATTAAAAAAAAAAAGAATGGTCATAGCTTCTTAAGTGAAAAAGGGTGTGTTATTGTCTGGATAGGGTTTTTTCTAACACTTGCATCAATAGGAAAGAAACAGATGTCTGTCTGAGAGAAATAGACCGCTGCCTTAATCTAGCTGTCTTGTTTTTCTATAGTTAAATACACTGATTCTGACAAACACCAAAATCCTGGTTTGTGTTTAGGCTTTGATTCTCCCAGGTAGCAGAGGCTTGTGTGTCCAGTGTTTAAGCAGAGAATGAATTTTCTTATTTGCTGAATAGCATGGATATGTAGTCTCTCAATCATAAGTGGAACGTAAGCACAACTGGGACAATTGCATCAGTACAAATGCTGTAGTGGTATTTTACTCAAATTCAGCAGAAGACAATTGAGTTATCACGTGCTTCTGTGATGCTCTTCTAGCAGGTAGGTCAGAGAGCAAGTTTGTTTTGTAAGGGGCTGGGAGGAGGAATAGCGGAAGAGTGTGTTGTCTGTTAAGGCTTTAGAATGACTTCTACATTAAAGTGCTTTCCTTTGATTTCCCAGGACTAAATACTAGGCTTTTGTATATAACTAGTAATATGTACTAGTTCAGTTCACATAGCTCCATTTGGAAGACTCCAAAGACATTCCTAGAGAGATCAACTCCCAGGTTTGTTAAAGGCTGTTATTGTTAATGTACAGTTTGACCAAAACTTTGTTTAGAATCATTACTCTTAAATATAGTTGGTTATTAGACCAGTAGCACTTAAAAATTACATTGAAATGTTTGACTGGTTCACTGTTCTCATATGTCAGTAGAAATAATTAAAAGCTTCTTATCACAAAATAAAACATGTAGGGCTGTTCATTGAATCTTCTTTAAGTAGGGATTCATATCTCTTAAGTATCACACATGTATTAATTGCTTTCAGACTGTCAGCAAGAGCTTCATATTCAAGGCTTTAGGCTTAGTTGCTGTCCCCCTGCTTCTCCGTTTGTACTTTTACTGGAATATTTTTAAATCTTTGGTACCAAAACAACCTTCATTAACTACAGAGCTGTGACCTTATCTATTACTCATCAACAGATGGTTGTTCAAAGATGTTATGCCTTAGTATGCATAGTTTTATAATGCACATAAATATGATTGTTCAAAATAATTCTGCAAGCCTTTTTTTGATAAGGTTATGATCCCATATGCTTAATTCTAGAATAGCTCAGTTTATTTTTCTAGCTATGCATCAGAGTGAAAAGATTTTCTTCAAATGCCAAGCTTGGTAGACTTGCAGATTCCAAGAGAGATGTGCTATTAGTGGAGGAGCTTTGCCCATTTAAAACCAACAAAAAAACTTATTGTTTTGGTCAACTCTAGGAGGGGGAAAAAAAAAATCTTGTTAGCGCTGATGGACATCCTGCAGAAGTGGGATGTAGAATTTGCAACATTAATGATATTTTAGCTGCCGAGAGTTTGTTGTGTGGCAGTGTGATTTGACGTGACAGTGGTCTGTTCAGAACGACATTTCTCATAATGTTTCTTGAACTGCGTGTTTTCTTTAGATCACAAAGTCTATATTTGGCACAAGCGCAGCGAGCTGCCGATAGCGGAGCTGACGGGGCACACGCGCACGGTGAACTGTGTGAGCTGGAACCCGCAGATCCCAGCCATGATGGCCAGCGCCTCTGACGACGGCACTGTTAGAATATGGGGACCAGCGCCTTTCGTAGACAACCAGGATATTGAAGGTAAAAAAAAACAAAACCAGTCCCCTGTGTGTGTGTTCTAACTACTAAAACTGCAGTGGGTTTAGCGGGCTTTGTTTGCTGTAGACTTCTCAAATGTTGCTGCTAGTGCTTTAAATACCTACAGCATTATTAAAAATGTAAATCATGTAGTTTAACCATTGAATTATAATGCCTGCAGAAAGAATTTGCCAAGTCGGGAGACTGAAGTCTTTGCACCTTAAAAGCTGATATAGCACAGAGTGTTTCCTAACAGTTAGCACTCTCTCTCCTGGACATAGATGAGATCTAAATAAGTGTTTGTCCCAGTGCCTAAACGCACCCTTTTGTTTTTCCCAAGTTACATGCTTGCTTATTTTTTCCTGGTTTCTCCAGAAAATCAGTTGGAAATTTCATAAAAATCAAGCCAGTTGGAACTCTGGTTTTCTCATAGCCATGTATCTACAGCCAAAGTTTAGATGCATGGATTCATGCCTAACAACTTAGGAGTCTTCAAGGGATGACAGGCATCTTTGTTGTTAGCTTGCTTTGCTGGAGCTTGTGTGCAAATGTGTGTTATTTATTGGTATGCCTCTTTGGAAGAGGTAACTTTAATGTGCTAGCAGCTAACCTGCTGAATTAATCTTTAGGCACTAGTAGTCATTCCTTTAAAGTAGGCTATTTTTAGCATGTGATTTAGTTGCTGTGTAAAGATAAGCACTATTGACTAATGCATGCTCAGTAAAACATCTGTATTAATGATCTTGTAATAGAAACGTTGAACTGTTGGTACATTCTTCAAGAAGATATGATTTCTTTCTCTTGTATTTTTGTTTTTGCTCAGAGGAATGCAGTAGCATGGATAGTTGATGGCGAATTTGGAGCAGACGACTTCAGTTTAACTTAATTAGTCGTATTTTAAATGGCTTGGGATTTGGTGCAAACAAACATGATCGATAGCTGGACAGACATGCTCGTCATGAAAAAGAACCATTTCTGAAGCCCAGTTGGGGCCAAACATTTACCACCTTGCTTCATAGTAACCAGTCAAGATGAAGCACGTCGTTAGAACTTTGTTGGACACTGTGTTGAAATTACCCCCCCATCGGTTGTGAAGAACTGTGCTACATTCAGGCTAACCATTGAACTCAGTATATATATTTTTCCCTCCTGCCTTTTTGTCTGGCAGGCTACTGTTCTTGTTGCTCTTCTGTGTAATGAAGTTTAAATGCTTGTTTGGAACACTTTATTTAACAGTTTAGAAGGCTTGATAGAAAGAGTGCTTTAGTCTGAAGAGTATACATTGGATAGGAAAGTATTTCCTTCTCTTGTTTCTCAAATCTCTCTCCGCCTTACTTAGCTTGAGATCTTTGCAGCTTGGTTCATGGATTCTAGCCTTGCCCGTTGCGCAGTATATATATAAATTGAGATCAACCAATGAACTATGTCAAGAGCACTCTCAATATCACATTTGACAAAAAGTTTTGTACTTTTCACATAGCTCGTTGCCCTGCACAGGGGTTAACAGCACAATTTTTTAAAAATAAATTATTTATAGGATTAAAATGACTTCATTTGTATACATTTGGAATTAAAACAATTTAAGAAGTATTGTGAAATGCAGTATCACTGATGCTCTCTCAGTGTCCTAAAACCCTTTCAAGAGCAGTGGTTGGAGGGAACTTTTATGTAGACAGTGAAAACTGTTCTGAAGGAGAAACTCACTGTTCATCTTAACAGAAAACCTGTGTTATTTAGAAGCAAAAGCCTTCAGAGTGCACCACCAAACCAAGATTTTAAACAGGACAAGGTGTTTTTGGTGTTTTTTTATTATTATTATTTTTAAGCTTACATAAATATGAGCAACAATGCTAGTAAAAGGTAGACTACACCTGGAGGGAAGAGTTAATTGTTTTTTAGAATAGTTAACATCCAAATCATAATTCAGCACTTGTATTATGATGGAAAACTTTATTTGATAAACAAAGATGTAGAAGTTGTCTTTTTGAGAAGATCCTTTTAAGTTTACAGATTTGAATGTCTCTCCTAGACCTTGCTGAAAGCTGGTGCTGTGAACATCTTGACTCATTTAGGAACAGTTCCACTGATATCCCGAGTTTAAAAAAAGACAGACATTTATAACTTAAGTATTTATTCCTGTCAGAATAAGCAGATGGCCTGGCATCCCTGTGCTGCTGCGCGACGTGCACGTCCATGAGGGGAAGGTGTTGGACTCCCTCTTCCCACACTGAGTGGAAGGCGGTGCTGTTGCTGCCGCAAGGTAAAGCGGGGGCAGGGAGAGGCACAGCACCCGGAACGATAGCGAGGAGAGTGCGGACTCTGTGTCCTTAAATGAGATGACAACTCCAGCGTCCTTGTTGGTGCTGTGTGGGAGAAGGGTTGGGGAAGGTTTGCCAGAGTTCCTGGGAAGACAAGGGTAGCTGTGTTGAAAGGAATGTGGTGTTCAACATAAACAGCCCCTTTTTTTAACTCCCTAGAAAAGCCAAGTGAAGCTGAGCAGGTTAGATGTTAGATCCCAGCCATCAGGTGGATTGTTTCTTGCCTTGTGGGTGATCTTAAATGTGGTTCAGGGTTTCAGTGTTCTTGTGGAGACTGTCTCTGAATCTGACATGCTCTTCTTGGTCTTGATACTTCTAAAATGAAGTAAGGGCTTCACTTGTTATTGTTAATCTAGTTCATTTATTTTAAATATCTTAATTTTAAGGTGAATTTCTTATACAGCAACTGCCATTCCACAGGACTGGGCATACATGTATAAACTTAGAACCAGGAGCACTTTGTAGCCTGTTAGCTCACTTTTGGAGAAGCTGTTGGATTCTCCTGGTAGTTGGCAGCATTTCTGATGGCGTAAGGTTAGCCTTGATGTTGGTGTTGCAGGGAAATGGGCATCTTTCCTCATGTCACATTCTAGGAAGCTAACCCTTTTGGCTTGAAATAAACATTGACTACCTAAATTAATTGTAAACGGTGTTTTATGCATCCAAAACATGGTACAACTCGTAAGCAGTGCTAGGGTGTGAGTCTTTGGTAATTACCCCTGTGTACTCTTTCTCTGGAATATGTCTGAAAGCAAAACATCATTTAGGGGGGAGGCGGAATGGAGGTTTGTCCCTTAAACACCCTGGTCTGGCACTATTTCCTCACCCCATGCTCATGGGACCTGAAAGGGAACGTCAGGCAGGTAGTAACGGCTGGGTCAAATCTCAAGCTTAGATTTGAAGTCTTGCACTTGAACAGACATTTTAAGGTGGTGGCCATACCTGGTGAAAGCTGTGTGGTAGGTTATGCTGGAGGAGATACCTCCTCTCCACTGCAGTGCGTCATAACCAGAAGTTTAAACTTTTGCCAGAATGCTGCCCCTCTGTCCTGGGGCTTTTCTTCTGGACACAGCATGTACCTCTGAATACCTGAAGCGTATTTCAGAAGCAGAGCTTGGGAGAAGTATGTGTGCTGGCATCTCTGCTTTGGCTTAGTTTTGTGGCACATCAGTGCAATATAAGGGAGAGCTCGTTGCTTGGAGAGGTGGCCCTAGTGCCAGGTCGTGTAGATAGCTGTTTCCTACAGGTGACATGTGGAGGATGAGAGGAAGGGGAGACTAGTCTGAACTTGGCCACAACACTTGGTCCCACAGTGAACCTGCATGGCAGACGTGATAGCAACTTCAACTGTGAGATTAAAGAGGAACTTGAACTCTTTCTAACATGTCAGATACTCACATTGTATGAACTGAAAAGTACCAATACTTTTTGTGCACAGACCAGAATGAGACTATGGGGAGGGAAATTAACTTGCAACATTTTGCTTTCCATGTGCTTAAAAATGTTCATAGACTGAAGTCTTAAGGTTGGAAAAAGCACACATGTGCAATCAATTACTGTATTTCTAGTGGACTATGATTTTTAAAGAAGAAAATACTGTAAATGTGTACTTCTAGCTTTTTTGCGTGAGCTAGTAGCTACAAGCTATTAGCAAGAAAGTTCTTTTAACAAGTTATGCTGAAGCAATTTATTTATCTGGATGTTCTTTAGCTGTTCAGGTAAGTAACTTTCAAGGGACAATGGAGCACGAAAGGGAAAAGCAGCAATGCCAGATCTTCCCCGGGGCAGGTGGTGGGTAAGGGAGGCACAGTGGACACAGAACACTTGTTTCGAATTCCCTCTGTCTCTTTTGAAGTTCTCCAACTTAAAAATCAACTTCTTCCTTAGCGCAAAGATGTGAGCTAGAAACCTCTTCAGGTCTTGCCAGTTACTTCTTAACTCGGTTGCCAGCAGGTAATATTTAATGAAACTCGGTTTACTCTTGGGAGTTTGTGCCTAGTTGAATCTCCTTATGCTGAGAAATGATGCTGCCACCCAAAATCAGGTTTGAAGGCTTCCTTAGTAAGATGCTTCCTTGTGGAAACCAGGATGCTTATATTTAGCCCTAATTTGAGGGGACTTGTAGTAGACCCAAATGGGGAGGGAAGTAGAAAAAGAGGAATTAATATAAAAAGTAGGATTTGGTGGCCACCAGACAAACTACTGTAACTTGAGGAGGAGGAGGGAAAAAAATGCACTTTCAATAGCTTGTCCATATCTTTAGCTCCCAAATACACTTCTTTAAAATAACTCTTAAGGGGACATCCAACCCATACCTGGGTAAAACTTTTTATTTTTTTTTTAAACCTCCTCCTCCTCTTTTCCACATTGGCTTGAGTCCATTTTCAGCTGCCATACTTAATTTTGAAAACTGCTACTTTTAATGATGATGTTGAGGGGGAAAAAGTAATCTCATTAATGCTGACACTTTTTTAAACAGGGTGGACTTAATTGAAGTATGCAGTTTTGAACTACTGCTGCAGAATCTGCCTCTAGGTGTTGAAATAAACTGTAGACAAGTTTTTGTCTATTAATCCAGGTTATCTGGAGTCAACAAAACGTCTGTGAGTGTTCCTTCCATCTGGTGTGAGTGTGTGTATGTGTGTGCGCGTGTGTGTGTCACAAACAGACATAGAACCAAACATTTGAGGTACTTGTCATGTTTTCTTGCATACTTTAAGTCGTGTGTATGTGAAGTGTCCTTTGACCTGAAGCTTTTGGTTAATATCAGTATATTTTTATAAATTGGAAATTCATTGTGCCCCATCTTTTTCTTAAACAGTTTTTCATTGTTAGGGTAATGTGCTAGATTTGAATCTTAACATTTTTAGGCACAGATGGAAAAAGTCATTGGCTCCTTGAAAACATATGGGACAAAATGGATCCTCAAAGCATGTATGTACTTACAAACCAAGCTGTAGAGATCAAGAAAAGAACTTTATTGTTGATCTCAAGATTTCTAAATTGTCAAGATTTATATGGAGTTGTGGTGGAACTAGTTAACACTTAGAGCTTTTGGTATGTAATGACTATTTGCTATGGACTGATATTAAATGTTTCAAAGGATTGCGTTCTTAAACTTTCTGGATTTTTGTTACTCTCCTTGGATTATATTAAGTAGTTAAAATTTCTTTGCTATATTACATTAAAAACATAAGAACTTGGGTCTCGTATTTATTTTCACTTGTTTTACTAATTATTTACAGAACACCATTTAAACTTTTTTATTTTATAAATGTGTAGTATTTTAAACATATCTTAAACTTGTTCAATTGGAACTACATTAACTTCTGATTTGTTTTTATTAGGATTTTTTAAAAATACACTTTTTTCCATGTTGGTGCACAGCACAACAGAAATGTTTGTATTCCCTTTCTTTCAATTCAATAAACAGAATGAATAACTGGAATGAATAGTTTTTAGTTTCCTAAGCTTCACCCATGACGATCACTATGTTCATTTCTTGATAATTACAATTTTCTTCCATAGTTGTATTGTTTAATTTCTTCAGTGGGAAGAAGCGCTTGGCACTTTAGCTGACAAAAAAATCCACTGGGGAAGCTGTGCCAAGACTTTCCTGTTCTTGTTCCTGCCATTTGGCTCTAACCAAGGCCATGCTTGTTTTTGTTGGGCACTTCAGCCACTTGGCACTGTACTTGCTTGTGCCTTGTTTTGTGCTTGCTGGAGCTGCTGAGTGTCTGCTCCTTTGAAGGCTCAGTGTAAGCCTTGTGCTGGATGCTCACTGAGGTGCCCTTTAGCTTGCTTAAATACAGGTGGTTCTACCTCTTTTTTTTTTTTTTTTTTTTTTTTTTTTTTGTTAAAATATTTTTCTGTGTTAAAAAGATACTTGTGTTAAGAAGATCCTGAGTACTGCCCTTTCTTGCTGATGCTTCTTTTGCCAGATGTTGGTAACGGGAGCTTGGGGAAGTGCTGTGGTCACCACCTCAGGCCGATGGAGCTGGGCTTGATGGCTGGCAGCTCTTGAAGCTCCATTGGTGCCTTTGTTCCCTGCACCCGAGCCTCCCATCTTCAGCCTCCCTTCCACACACTTTAAGCAGAACATTGTTTTTCCATCCCAAACTCTGCATCGTGTATACCTGTGTCTTCGGCATTTTTATCGAGCTTTAGCTAAGGCTGCATTTAACATAAAGCTTTGTCCAAATTTGCTCCTTTTGTAGTTTTTTTTTTTTTCTCCAGATTAAACCCTTTCCTGATTATTGACTAGACCAGTTCTTTAGTAGCTCCCCCTTCACCTTCTGTACAGCTTAGGTGGTGCTTCTGTAGCTGTGTCTGCAACCCAGCTGCCAGCAGAATGGACCACTGTCACCTGTGCCCCCCATTGGCAGACATCTGTGCAGGCTGATTCCTTTCAATGCCGGGATCTGCTCAAAGCTGTTAAGCTGCAGAGCTAATTCAGCCATAAACCATCTACGCAGCAGATGAAGAAAGCCTCTGGAATGGGTTGTCACACTTCAGCTACCATCCTCGATCTGCCTCTTACTGGAGAGAGTAGAGAAAAATAAAAGAAAAAGGGGTATATGATCTCCTAAACTGAAACTTCAGTGTGTGTATTTATAGGATATGAAGAGTTGTGGTCTTTATTTTCGTTATTCTTTATGCATTGAAGTCACCTTAATGTAATATTTCTGAAACTTCTTGCACAGGTTTTGACTTGCAGCTTGGCTTTTGTGGGACCAAGGGGAGCCCTTCACGTCATACAGAGAGATGATGTAAAGAACCCGACTCAGTGTTAAATATTTCATAATAATCTTAAACCCAAGCTCTGCCTGAGCCAGGGCACATCTCCAGAGTGATATTTTCTGTTTTATTCTGTCACTTGAAGTCTTTCCTTAAGCTTTCTATGCTTCTTTATGTGCATCCTGCTATTTTGCATGTGTTCAGGGGATACATGCACCATTGAAGGATGGCAGTCTGTTTGTCCTCCCTTTAAAAGGCCCATATTGTTACGGAGGGAAAAGGTGTTTGTGTGTTTTAATTACACCCTCCTCTGGCTGAACACTGTGTGTACTGAGGCTGTAGATGGTAGGTGAAGAAAAAACAGCATTCTCATCTTATACAAAAATCTGAATCTAGGTCAGCTTCAGATTTATTTCCATGGGTTAAGCATGTTCTATAAGGCACACCTAGATATGGATAAAGTAGCAGCCCTGTTGTGAAGTTGTGCTTGGATACCTTGGCTCCAAAGGGAAATACATCTGAAGCCATAGACTGAAGCCAGGCTGTGCTTTTTTTGTTGTTTTCTTCTACATTTTTAGCAAATTAGAGCATTGCTGACTGAGTTGTGTAAAGATGGCTGTTAATCCCAGAAATGATCTGTGTGCAATGAAGGCTTCAAAGGTACCTGGGTGCCTGTAAAGGTACTCTGCACAACTGTGACCTTCAGAGCCTGCGAATGTGGGGAGGTTGCAAGTCCTATAATAAACTCTTAGATGAACCCTCAGAGACTATATTCTCTCTCCCTCAAAAAGAAAGTGGATGTGGGAAGCTTGCAATTATACGTAAGTATAGTTTGTTTAATATTGACAGCTACTCTTTAGAATAAATTTCTGTACTTTTTGTTGTTTCAGTGTGGTCAGAAGTACATCCTTAAGGAAGGAAGTAGGAAAGAATCCATGCTAGCATTCTTCTAGGTAAAGGATGTGACTTAAAACCTTTATTTATTTATCAGTATGGTGTTCTTTCTCCTTATTCTTCCCTGTCCAGATCCCCTTCTCTGGGAGGGGAATGGAAGACTTTCCCAAGGACTGATGCATCTTACAACTCCGACAGAGAAGGCCGTGTTGGTCCTGTCTAATTCTAACAGCATAGCTCTGGAGAGTTAGCAGCTAGAAAGTAGCGAAGACAAGGAAAATGTTTAAGATACACCATTAGCAAGGCTCCTATCTCAAAATTGCATCTTTAAAATAAAATATAAAACTTTAGGTCAGTTCTAATTGTTCTAATACGATCAGGATAATGATCACATTTCCCCTGGTGCAATTTCTTTTAATGAAATTTATTTCCTGTTGGCACTGCAGGTGCAGGACTTAAGTGGCTTGCTTAAGAAGTGGTGTTCTGCTTAACCTCTTTCTTCCAATGGATAAAAAACAGTATGTGTAGCACCCATTTTTTCACAAGGGTCAAATAAGTACAGCTATCTTCACCCACAACTAAAATAACTAATCGCCTAATCTGTAAACTACTGACATTCCTGTTTTTAAATTGTTTGCTCTCCTCTTTGTAGCCCCTCATCCTGTTTGGGGTTCAGCTTTACAAGGCCATACTTCATGGATTTTGGCTGGGTGCCCTGTCAAGCAGCTAGTTATTTCTTACTGAGCATATTTTCAGCATTTTTTTAATCTTTAGAAGAGCTAAACTTAGAATCCATTCCATCATAAATTTAAGGATAGTACTATCCTAGAAAAAATGTCAAATATGAGAAAGCTAGAGGAATAAAGCTCCAGTGTTCTACATCTCTTCACTGCTGGACACAAAACCGGTCTGTCACACATAAATAACATTAAAACCTCTACAATCTTATAGCTACAGCTTACGAGTTACAAATTCACATGAAAGAAAAGTTTAGAAGCTTAAATATGTAACTACAGGGCACTATTTCTGAAGTGTTTCTTGAGGCAGAATTGTTTCAAAAATGAATCTATTCGTTCTTATGTAAACATAGCTAAGATTTAAAAACAAGTGTTGGACAGTGAGAACGCAGGCTCCAGTTTATTGCTGATGCAAGGACAACAACAAGAGTTTAGTTTTGTGCTATCTTTGAAGCAGAATCATGTTAGTCCCACACTTCCAACAGGGCTATTCTCTACCCCAGTATCTGCCCTGGTCGGATGGGTTCTTCATTCACCACCTTGGATAGGGGAACTGCTTCATTGACAGGAGCCTAAATGATCGTGCTCTATTGTGGACTCTAAGGCCTAGTGTAATGTGTTATTTACTTTATAAGGTAGATCTATGATGTGTTTCAATGATAAAACAGCTACGGAAGGGAAAAAAACAAGTTCTCCTTGTGCTTCTTCATTTCCTCATTTCCGAGTTGCACACAAGCAACACTTTTACCATAGGGACCTTATTCCATCCAAATATGAGACTGCATCTAGAGTGTCTGGGGTGGATGAGAAAAAAGTCCAACTTTTATTCCTTTACTTTTTAATTGAAAAACATGGATGTGTAAAGATGCAAGCTGTGTTAGCATTCCCCCTTGAAAGATAGTCTAAATGTTCCTTCAAGCTACACTCTAATCTTGATGGCCAGAGGCCCATTATGAGACACTTCAGAAAGAAACAGACATCAGAACTGCACTTCAGTTTCTTCTAGAACTGCCACCCCAAGCTCTTGGAAATGGGTTTTCCTCTCATCATCTCCTTCCTACAGGACCAATTTGGTAAGCAAGGATTTCACCTTACAGAAGCAGCAGCAACCACTGTTCAGGTTGTTGTAAAAAGAACAAAAACAACTGCTACACAAGTCCAATGTCCTTTGAAAATATTTTATGTTAAAAATACAGAAAAATATTTCTTGTTCAAAGAGAAAAAATATACTGCATGACGACACTGGTCTAGGTATGTTCAGAAGGTGTCTGTGGCTCCACAACCAGTCACTGGAGTGATGACCCAATTTAGCAGCTAACCGTTCAACTTCTCAATCATTTATCAAAGCCAGAATCATACTGTGATAAAACAGAAAACATGAGACCAGAGTATTACTGAACCATTGCAAGTAGGAACCGCTGCAGTTTTTCAGGAGAACTGCACTTGAATCTGTTAGAAAGTCAAGGCCACCATGCAAAGTATTTCATTTATGAGGACACAGATTGCAGCTGTAACTGCAATACATTGATCTTTTATCTTGTACTGACTGACCCCATCATAGGACTTAGCAGGTTGCATCTTAGCCAGATCAACTTCATTTTCTCCAACAGAACTTATAAAGTACACTTTACCTCAAGATCATTCCTATTCTAAACAGGTCCTTTATTTTAAGTGGTGAAATCATGCAACTCAACTCTTCTTATAGTGCTAATAGTGTTTTTGAGACTAGGAAGTAATCAGAGTTTCCAAGCAGAGTTAGAAAGAATAAGAGCATAAAATGAAACTACAGATGGGTGTCAAAATATATTACTGAGGCTTTGCAAAGGCAAGAAGATGCTTATGAATATCAGCAATTATACCAGCAGCATAGAAGGATAAAAATAGATGGCAGACAATTCCTTTGTTACCTGGCAGCAATTTGTGAGACTAACCTGTAAAGGTACATGAAGAAACAGAGCAGATGAAAGCCAAGTTTGATCATGGCTTCCTTCATGTGTGATTTCAGTTGTCCTCGGTTATGGATCTCTGTGGGATCAAATACCCCCATGTTTCCGCTAGGCACCATAATAAACCTGGAAGTTTAAGAAAAAACAGAAGTGCAGCTATCAAAACAGCAGTGAGTATAAGGGTGAATGGCAGGGGGTGGGAGGGAGTTGGCTCAGAAGGGATTTTTTTACTGCATGTTTTACAGTTCAATATAAAATCCTGCTATTTTTCACTTCTAGGCCAGTCTCAGATATTACGTGCATCTCTGCCATTACTATTTACAAAAAAAACCCAAAAATATCAGAGGACAGGAGACATTAAAAGCATTAGCCCAGCCTCCTTTGTATAAATGGAAAATGTTCTGGGTAATAGTGAATTCCAGAGCAGTCTGATTACTGCTTTCAGTTACTCCATGTTGTTGGAGGACCTGCAGTGGCAAGATGCACTGGATGAAAGGGACTAAAAATTTTGTTCTTATCCAAAACAAAACAAGCTCTAGATAATCACAAACTCTAGTGGTCCAGTGGGATTGCAAAAGGCAGGGCAAAACGTCTGTATTTCTGTATTTGTCACAACTCTCCTATGTTACTTCAGCAAAGGTGATGAGCTTGTTTATAGCTGGCAAAACAGAAGTAGTAGTTTTCCTTCACTTTCTGAACCCACAGAAAAACACAAATTGAGTGGGAACAAACAGATAGGCAAAAGGAAGAAAAAGCCCAGCCAAACAAATGAAACAAGGGATCTGAAAAATGCAGCAAGCAGGATGCTTGCTTGACATGCTCATTTCTCAAGAGAGATGTGAGCACCTTAAGTTCTCCAGCTGAGGTCAGTCTAGAACAGTATTATTATTCTACTTGAAAATCCCAAGGGTTTTACCTTCCTGCAATAATGTTCTTTCGACACAATAATTTAACTCCTGCTCTAATACTTGGAGCAAAAGGACAAAATACTTTTTTATTTTCTTTACATACTGGAGGAGTGCCACCACTTGTTCTCCAAAAGGCATTCACCCATCCCTTACAACATTCTCCTTACTATGGATAGGAGGGGAAGAAAGGGAACATGAAACAAGAAGCGTTTCTAGCAGCCACAGGAGACAAAAAAAGTTAAGCCCACTGTGCATGTGATTTTTTTTAATGTCTCTATGAAAGAATTTACCGCGATTTACCCCAGAAATTAGTTCCTGAAATACTACAACATATGAAGAAGTTTAACACATTCATCTCATGGTAACACTCCATATGTTAATGCTTAATTCTACTTTACTCATTAACACCTCTTCTTTTGGTATTTTCCAGCTGACTAGCTCACAGCAGACCTTACTTTTTGTCCATTAAATATCTGGGGTTAAATCTGAGTTTTATTCCAAAACATCTAATTTCCTTTTTAATGCTAAACAACATAACCTTTTGCAGACTTTATCTTCCTCTGGAGCTATTAACATATGTGACATTCCTTGACCACTGAAGGCAGGCTGGATTAGCAATGTGGGCTTAAAATTTTTACCTCTTGTACCAAAACAGGCCAGGTATCACATTATCATATTTATTATATACCCTGCACATCTAAAATTGAGGAAACAAAACTGGATTTGGGATATTTGAAGTATCCCAAATAACAATAACCATAAACAACTATAAAAAGAGAGTTGTCAATTCAAAACAGCATTCAGGGGTTAGTGCCTGAAGCTTGGCAAGAGAATCATTGCACTATCCTTTAAACTTCTTTCTGATCAGCTGGAATAGAGAAAGCAACTGGCTACTTTAAATGCTAACATAATTAAGCAGAAGGAAGCAGCAAAAAGGAAACTAGCATGAAAACTTTAAGGAAAGTGCATTCTCTTTACAGTGTCTGTGTAGACACTATTTATCTAACCAAAAATAAAAGACACATGCTAATTCTGTATTTGCCAAGAGGTACTAAAATGAACAGCATTTTTCTATGCAACAATTGATAATTTCATGGAAAAGGTCACACAAATGGAAGTATCTCTGTGTGTATATTTAGGCAACGGTCACCTATGAAGCACACAAATTAATGCTCTCTCATGGTGCTCCAGCTGAAAAGTATTTGAAGGCTTTAATAGCAGTTTTGTAGAAAACAAGAATGATGAATGCACGATATTTTCCTAAAAAAACAACCGAAATATCAGTAAAGGCTTTTCCACCTGTCCTTAATAATACCTAGGAAACCTCTTATTTGGATTAAGAACTCACCCCACCTCAGCAGTTAGTCATGGAAGAGTCACTGAAACAAGAAGTACAGTCAACTCTTTATAGCTAAATCTTAAAACACTTGGTCTTTTAACTTCCTGCGGTGTGGTGCTTAGTGGTTAGCTGCCCAAAAACCCACATTCACTATTGCACACTTTTGAAGGGTTCATCTGTATGGCTCAATTTTCTGAACATCGAGGGACATAAAACAGACAGGTTTCTGGCCTAGGACTCTACTATTTCTAAACAAAAGAAAATATATTAATGTTTTTTGAGCTGTCTCCCCACTGCCACCTTCAAACCCATACTAAGCAAATTATTTCGGGAGCCCAGTGCACAAAGACAGTTTACACCAGTAGCAGTAAAAGTTGTCTAGCATTAAAAAGACAGGAAAACTTTAAAAATGCAAAGAGACAAAATGGGGGACCAAAATTTCCCCCATTGGGAAAATATATGGGAAATATTCCCATGAGAGAAATATATACCCGTGAGGGAAATATACCCGTGAGGGAGAAAAACAGGAACATAAACCTACAAGTGCACCGTGTGTGCCTATGCGTGCCGAACACCACAATCTGACACTGGTTTTACAACCATCAGCTATGCTGCTCCAAGTACCTTTATGCCAGTATCTTCATTGGGCTTGGTAAAAACTCTTAGCAACCGGTTTTGCAGTAGTACTTTACAACCCCAGTTAACATGTTGCTACTTCCTACAAACCTGTGAATGATTCACAAATCAAGGGTTTTGAGCATTAGGGAGAATGCAAAGAAATGCCAAAAGCTTCAGATCCTGAGTTCTGGTGTTTTTTGTGTGATTTTAATTGAAAAAAAGGGAGAGTTTAATGTTGGTTACATCCATGAAGACTGTTAGCAGCTCAAGAATCTAACTGAAATATCTCATCATGATATATTGTTTATCTCTACCCTTGAAGCTTACTCAGTAATAGTGGATGAAAAGAACATAAAATTCTTTGCACTTACCTATATATATTCCATGTTGCTACTGGCAAATTAAGGAGAAAGATGAACCAGTGCAATGAAATAAGCATTAATACCGTTACAATAGCATGGCCAACCAACTCAGGGACCACCCACTGTAAAAAGAAAAGCAAAGCAAAAAACAGTTATATCCACAAATGTGATTTACTTTCTGGAAAAAAAATCCATATGCAGCTACTGTCCCATTCTATTCACATCAAAGTAAGACTAGATAGAATATTCACAGAGAAGCATACAGCCAGATTCCACACAAATAAGCCCCAAATCTGGCCCTAACATACTGTAGCAGAGGTAGTTTATTGCATTTTAATATTTGTGAAGAGAAGCACAGCAGCTGCTTACACACTATATTCCTAACTACATTAGGCAAATATTTTATTTTAGCAAGTTACTTATTTTATTTTAGCAGATAATACTGCATTTAGGAATAGAGAAGTAGATAACAGAAATCTGCACAGATAAAGGGCATATAAACTCCCTCAGGCTGGGAACAGAAAATTGATCGGTATGGAAACTGGCATAGCTAAACTGGGTCAGCCCCTGATCATTGCAGATTTTTGGTTTAAAAGTACCTTGTAGTGATTTCGCTTCCATTAGGACAGAAAACAGTTCTCAAAGTGAACCACCAGGCAGAATGAGATCAGCTTTATGGAGATTTAGTTAAAACAGTACTTTTCCCTGTTACAGAGAGCCACACATAGGATCGGGGAAGTGCCTTTTAAGACTAACTTGCTGAAAGACAGTGACATGGAAAAGGCGTGCGGACCCATGTAACGGGTGAACGCACGGGAGAAATACTGCCAACCCCGACTCTTTGGGTACATATTATACTCTGTTATTTGTGATGCAGAATTGCTTTCTGTTTCTTTTTTTATCTTAAGACACATTAAATGCAAAGAAGAAATATTTACTTTATTGAGTTTCGAGCAGCAAGATCTGGCATTAATGTAATCACATTCCAGATCTGACAGTGTAATTATCTGAAGCCTAAGATAAGGAAAACTTGTATGGGAGCTAAGAATACCCAAAGCCTTGTTTTTATTCCAATAAATTGGGAAATCTTGATCAGAAAGAGAGTTATTTATAACTCTCTACTCTCAGGGCAGATTTTCTGTTTGGTTCTCCATGAATTAATTACAACACATAAATCTACTTTAGGTAGAAGGTTGGCTCATAACTTATTTATTAATCCAAATGATTTTATGATAGCTTTTTTTTTCCCCCCCAACAGCAATGTTGCACAAGTGCTAAAGTTCAGCTCGACTAAACATAGACCAAGGAGACACACTAGCATTTTTACTACCAGACTCATTAGTACAGTACTTGAAACAACCCTGAAGGGAAGAAAAATACAATGCACTTTTAAAGTCTTTACAATAAATCCAATCAGGATGGTTTTAATAAGTGGATCTGCCCATTTTATACTTAGTGCAATGTTGAATTATCTTATGTTCTACTAGGAAATGAGAGGATAGCATTGCTATCAAGCGTACTTTTAATAAATGAAATTACCAAGAGATTTAGGTAGAAATTCTTTTCAAAATAAGGCTTAATATTACCACCATTATGTTACCTCCACAAAAGCTCACAGACAACCCCTTCCCTAGGGAAATGAAAAACATTAAATTTGTTCTCTCCTTAGAGTACACAAAGTCTTTTAATTTTAGCAAATATTATTTTGGTTTCCCTCATCCCCGGATTAACATAAAAACACACGGAAGTTTTAGCCTTGCGCGGAGCTTTTGGGGAGGTGACACACGCTTCCAAGCATCCCTCCCTCCACCCCCAAACCCAACGAGG